GTTGTGTACAAAGAAAGAATACGGCGCGTTTTGAAATACATACATCACATTCATTCATAAACATTTGTCAAAGGTTTGCAATGGAAAAGTTAATTGGTCTCATGCATAAAAACGAGCAAAAGCGAAGAGTTGAGTCAAGTAAGCAATTGCTCGTAAGTTGAGTTAGATCGAACAGCCACTGGTTTTGCTCAATTTCGTATGCATAACCAGTAAAGAAAGTAGTAGTAAAGTCGGGCGGGGCCGACTATATGATACCCTTCACCCCTATGGGTATATTATACCGGACTATTAACATGAAATTGGATGAAATAAAATATGTGATATTAATCTAAATGTGAATCTACCTAGATCCATCCATAAACATCTCATTCGTTTGTTACAATGTGACTTCAAACAAATATAAATAGGACATCCGTTGGGATATGTCTGTACTTCTAGAAAACGCAACTACGTTATTCTATGCTCAATTTTGTACGTTGTGCAAAATTTCATGTCAATCTGTCAAGCATGAGAAGTTGATGCACCATTTACTTAAAGTCGAAAAATATATATGGAAGCGAAAATATATATGGAAGCTATATCCAAATATGAAGCGATTTCAACGAATCTTGTCACAGGTTAGGTTATACTAATTTCAGTACGTTTTGCTCCTATCAGCCTATTGGTTCCTAGGTGCGTCAATTACTTAAAATCAATCTATAATAAAAGTGACTATATCTAAATCTCAAACGATTTTCAGGAAACTTGGCACACAACATTCTGGGCTAAATTCAGTACGCTATGCCATATTTCGTGCAAATCGAAAGAAATATAGGGACATTGGTGGACCATTTACATTAAATCGGACGAAAATATATATGGGAGCTATATCTAAATTTGGACCGATTTTCATGAAACTTGACAGACATTACTCTGGGCTCAATTCATTACTTTATGCCAAATTTCGTGCAAATCGAAAGAAAATATATATGGGAGCTATATCTAAATCTGAACCGATTTTTTCCAATTTCAATAGGGTTCATCCTTGGGCCAAACAAATGAGCTGTGCCAAATTTCATCCAAATCGGATTATAAATGCGACCTGTACTTTGTTTAGAATTTAACGCCAACAGACGGACGCGCTATGATGGTAGCTTCGACACCAGAAGCTACCATCATAGCGCGTGCCATTTCTACCAACGTTCTGTTCATGCGCTCAGCAACCCCATTTTGCTGTGGTGAGTAAGGCACTGTTAATTGTTGCATGATCCCATGTTCCCTCATAAAATTCGAAAAATGTGTGTTTACAAATCTGTGCCGTTATCAGAGCGAAGTATTTTCAGTTTATGTCCCGTTTGCTTTTCTGCTAATTTCATAAACTCCCTAAATTTTTCAAATGCATCACTTTTTGCTTTAAAAAAATAAGCAAACACATAACGGGATTTTTCATCTATGAATGTCAATATGTAACGAGCTCCCCCTAAAGATGCTACATTTATTGGTCCGCAAATGTCTGTATGAACAATTTCTAGCAAGTCACACGCCTTACTGTGTTTGTAAATGGCCTAAATGTACACTTACTCTTCATACACACAGTACAATTTAAAGTTTTTGGAAATTTTGCATTCATACCTTCAACCATTTGCTCCTCTGCTAGTTGTCGCAAACTGTCCACATTCAGATGACCGTAACGGTAGTGCCATTGCATTGCATTTGTTGTTCCTTCGGCCAGAAACAAATTTTGATGAGGGTCGCTGAACAAAAACAAATTACCCACTCTTCTCGCTGTCAGCACAATTCTCCCCTTGTTTATGATTCTCGCATACTGCTTGCCGAATTTCACATCATGAACAACAGCTACTCTGCCTACCGAAAAAAAATTACACTGTAGGCTCGGCACAAATAAGACATCATTCAGCACAACGTCACCCTTGTTGATCGCAACTCTCCTCTTCCCCTTTGCTTCGATGGTTTTTTCGCCTGCTAGGGAGATTTGCTCATAATGTTCCTCAAACGTCGTAAATAAGTTTCGATCGCAGCATAAGTGTGAGGAAGCACCGCTATCTAGGCACCATACATTTTTATTGAGGTTGTTGTTGTCGATCGACGCCAAAACGGTGTACGCTTGTTCGCCCTTTTTCTCTGCCTTCTTACATTGAGCAGCGAAATGCCATCTGCCGCCGCAGTTGAAACAGTTGTTTTTCTTGTGTGTGCGGAACCTTTTCTGACTGCTACCTGCGTTGTTGTTGGAGTTTGATTGATGTGCGTTGTTAAATTTTCTATTGTTGTTCTTGTTATAAATTCTTTTATTTTGGGTCATAAACGCCTGTGTACGATTTTCTTCTATTTTGCTACCTGATGATGATCTCTTCCACCACAAAATTTTCGAACGACTTGGGAAGACTGGCGAGGACCATTATGACCAAAATTTCCTCATTCAGGTCGATACCTGACTCGGCCAGTCTATCCACAACTTACGTAAATTCGCACATATATTGTTGCACTGTATCAATCTCTTCCATTCTCATATTTATTAGTTTTTTAAACAGCGACACTTTTCTTATTAGCCCCTTTGGCCAACGGATTTCTGCTAGGCAATTCCATGCATCCTTTGCTGTTTTGCAATTTTTGATGTGGGACAATTGAACTGGCGTGATGCTTAATATAATCGTCGCCATTGCCTTTTCATCTTTCTTTTTCCATTTGTGACTCTTCTCGGCAACCGCTTGTTCTGAAATAACCTCCCACAGGTCTTGGTGGATCAGCACACTCTTCATCTGCATATTCCAGGACTCATAATTGCAACGTACGTGTCGTGCTAAATTCAGTAATTGCAATAAACAGAAATTAAAGAAAATAAATATTTACGTAGAAAAAGTCAGTTACCAATTGTCAATGAAATGAAGCAAATATTTGGAATAGAAATAACGGATTATATTATCATTAGGGTTTATATTATTATAATACGCACCATAAGGCGGAGTGCATATACGCCACACATCGAAATATTTGTCGAAGACATCCTGCAACTGAAATTGCAAACTGAGTTAATTACCGTAACCTTTTTTTGAAAATAAAGTTATAGAGAACGTTTTTTTCAAGAATATAAACGTGACTTATTTTGAAATAAAAATAAATTCTATACTGACCCAGTTTTGATTTTTTTTCTTTTTTTTAGAAATAAGCAAATTTAGCTAGTAATCGACAGCAAAACCATTATTTTTGATTACACCTACGAGACATGGAACCTATACGATCCAAAATTTGATGCTTTAACGCACTATTCCTCACATCCTGAACCTTTGGGAAGAGGTTATGTTTGTTTGTTAGTGAATCCCTTTGTATTTTGCTATCGATGATGATCTAAAGATTTTTCTATGGGGTGAAGATCTGATGAATGTGATGTGATGAACGCCGACATGTTTTGGTTTATGTTTGGGGGTTATTGTCAGCTTCAACACAAAATATTCATGGAATATTTTTCCAAAATCATTTTCTGTGATAAATTATGTTCACAATCACTGATAATTATTCCTTTTAGTGTACGCGAGACAACTAAGAGGCATGCTCAACAAAAGCTAAGCAAGAGCTCACAAAAGTAAGCAAAAGCTTGTTTATACGCATATGAAAATGAGAACAATCTCATCCAACATCAATTTCTAAGTTCAAACTGAGCAAGAAGAGATCAAACGTGAGCAGTGAGTAAAAGCAAATACCTCAAATTTTATTATGCATACGACAAGCACCTTTTACACAAAAAATCGAGTCCGAGCTCAAGCTCACGTTTAATGCATGAGACCCAATAGCTATCGAAGAAAATTCCTCAAAAAAAAAAAAAAAATATCAAGTATATGCGAACTTATGTATAAGAAAAATAAGTTTTGAAGCCACAAATGGAATATTTAGTTCAAAATAGTCATTCCCTACAACGTTTTATTATTTTTTTATTTAATCACTTTACAAAATTATATTAATGACTAAAACCTATGACCACAACATCTAGCGGGTGATGAGTGAGATAATCTTAAATTTGCTTCAACAAAATTCAACCAAAGCGAAATATTTCTGATATTGTGAAACAGCTGTTTTTGCGGCAATTCTATAATTACGACCCAAAATATATATTAATAAATAAAAATATAAAGATACGACAATTGATAAGTAAAAAATTTCCAACAGATGGCTTTTCCTCTGTTGTTACGATATCATAACAACAGAGAGTACAATATTAAACTTTTTAGTGCTATATCTCAAGCTTATAAAATGTAAATATATATTTTGTGTGCATACCTCTGATTTTATTTACATTTTATACACACATTATGGCGTATTGGCAGTTTTATTCTTAACATGCCTCTGTTAGGTCTGATTCCCCTGGATATTTTTTCATAAACTATTTTGTCAAAATGCATTTTGTCGAGTCTTTACGGTTTCTATGTCTTTGATAGGAACCTCGCTATTTTGAAATCGTAACTATAAATAAAAAATTATAAAATGTCAAATAAAAAATACACAATCGATCTTCAGTTTGATCTGAAGGACAAATCAACTAAAATTTATAGACCGATGGCCAAACTAAAACAACTGGAACTGTTTCAGTTTACTTTTTTCGCAAACTTTATATAATTAAAAAAAAAAACAATAAATGCAAATTTAATTTAAAAATAATATATGTCCTGATTTAGATTGGGGAAGGTAACTTGCGGCAATTCTCAGTCTGATCATCAGGAACAATATCCTTCATTTGGGAAGCCATCAGATTGCAGCACCAGTCAAATTGTTCCTTTCTTTTTTGAGCAAGTAGGGGAACATTTTGTTCGTCATAACATCAAGGAAACACCTTAATTTAAGAAATATTTGTTTTTATTTCTGTTCAGTTTTGATATAATTTGATGCTTAATGGTTTAGGATTTGCATTTAATTGTGATAAAAGCGTATATTTTTGTTTCCAGGTAAGTATCTTTGAAATACCAGGCCCGGAAAGGAAATCTTTAATTGTAATTTTAGCAAAATCCACATACGACAACAACTTTTCAATTAATTCCCTTGATCTCTCATCGCTAAGCAGAACAACATTCTCTTGCCCAAATGTAGTAGTGGTGGTACTCCCAATTTTGTTTGATGAATTGTCCGTTGCACGTAACTGCTGCGGTATTAAATTATTATCCAATATATATTTTTCTATTGCATTAAATATTGGCATGTGGTCAACGTAATTGCTTTCCTCGAATTTGATAAATTTCATGAACGAAACATAATCCAATTCATAAACTTTAGGTAGCGATATAAAATTACTTGTTCCTAATTTCTGCAAATGATAAACGGTGTTTACAAAATTATATTATCAAAATAATGTTATCTCGAATGTACTTACAATATAAATAGGATCTAATAGCTTCAAATTAGAAAATTCCACAGTAGCAGCGAGCATTTTTAGCACATCATCATGGTTAGAATCGTTAATTAAGTTTTTCAAATGATCCCTGCATAACTTTGCTATAGTTGTGAACATATATTTATCACAAAGTTTATACAAACTGATCGTTTCGCTAACATTTAATTCCTCAATTTCTTGAGAGGCATCACGTAGATTATACAAGATTATGCGTAAGTTGCGAAATGCATTTGGATCATCGTCTGGCAATGGGATTCTGGTACATTTCGCTTCCATGAAATTATCAGAAAACATTGATTCAAATACTTCCGAGTTCAAGGCGAACATTAACTTATGACCGAATATAGTTTTTGGCTTTCCCAGATTTTCACCGACAATAAATTGACAATCCACTGTAAATGCATGATTTATTTTTGTCTCCAATTTTTCGGGCAAACTGCAAATGTACAATATCGAAATGTTTACAATAAAGTACAATTAATTTTCGCTGGAGTTTTATAACAATTGTTTATGTATTTTCTGATGAATGTTAAAATTTTTCATGCATTATAATGTAATATAACTCCCATGTATATATATATATATATATATATATTTGTTCGTAAACAAACAATAAACATTCAATCCAGCTATGCTCAGCCATATACGCTACCCTAACTGAGGGTCAATGGTTAGACACACATTCTCTTTTTTCTCTTTTCGTCAGCCGGTTTTAATGATGAATTCTCAGTTACGCTCACCCACACTTACTCTTAATTTAGTTAAGAGCAGCACTGATTTACACACTTTGCTGCATTGTATATGTATGTGTTGTCCACCCAAAATTTGTTTTTTATTTACCAGCCGGCATATTGAATTGTGTAAAACAAAAGGAATGGAATTAAATATAGACACATCTTTCTATTTTGAAATCATCCTGAACTAACTATTCGATTTGTTCGCATTTACCAGATGTTTTTTGAAGGATTCTCTTCGGCAGCGATTAACTTTTACATTGCAAATGTTTATTTAATGTTAATGAATGGATAGGTATGTGATGTTAATAGCTGCACTGATTCACACACTTTGCTGTATTGTATATGTATGTAGGTGTTGTTCACCCAAAATGTTTTTATTATTTACCAGCCGGCATACTGAATTGTTTAAAACAAAAGGAATGAAATTAAATATAGACACATCTTTGTATTTTGGAATCATCCTGAACTAACTATTCGATTTGTTAGCATTTACCTTATGTTTTTTGAAGGAATCTCTTCGGCAGCGATTATCTTTTCCATTTGCTAATTTTTATTTAATGTTTATGAATGAATAGGTATGCGATGTTTGTATTTCAACGCGCGTCTTATTCTTTGCACCCAACAACACAGACTAGTTGAGATGTACTGAGCAAATATATTTGTGGACGTAATCATAGAATTGCCGCTAAAACAGCTGTTTCACAATGTCAGAAATATTTCGCTTTGGTTGAATTGTTTTGAAGCAAATTTAAGATTATCTCACTTATTTTCCGCTAGATGTCAGACACACAATATTTAGCAATTTAAACAAAGGGCAAAGGGTTGCTATGTACCTACATTTAAGAGTGTGTATTTCTTACATTTCCGTTTGTTCGTGGCCTTCTATCAAATAATTTATTATCAGGGCACACACACACACACACACCGATTTTATGACTATTGAGGATTTATTATACATTAGAATGCATGGATGGATGCAATTTAATATTTATTAGAAAATACATAAACAATTATTATAAAAGCCCAGTGAAAATAAATTGTACTATTTTGTAAACATTTCGATATTGTACATTCGCAGTTTGCCCGAGAAATTGAAGGGAAAAATAAATCATGCCATTACAGTGGATTGTCAATTAATTGTAGGTGAAAATGTGGGTTCACTTCTAACTCGGAAGTATTTGAATTAATGTTTTCTTGTCATTTCATGGAAGTGAAATGTACCAGAATCACATTGCCAGACGATGATCCAAACGCATTTCACAATTTACGCCTAATAATATATTATTATTATATTTCCTTGATGTTATGTCGACAAAAATGTTCCTCATAAACTAGAGGACAAAACTGAGGCATTTGAAATAGATCACTCACAGAATAAATGACCTGTAACTTTTTTTTTAAAAATAAGCATATATTGATATTTTTTGGAAGTAGGTAATTTAATTTAAAAATATAATAAAATATTATTAAAAAATATATAAATGGAAAATTTATTTAGAAATTAAAAATACAGACAACTAAATTGATCAAATTTTTACTTGGTCCTTGATGGTTTTCGGGCATGTGGACCTGTAGCATAGAGTAAAGAATATATTGTAGGATAGTACAGAAAAGAGTATGGAATAGAATAGACAATAGGATTGAGTATAGAATAGAGACAGAATAGAGTATAGAATACAATATATAATAAATTAAAGAATAGAGTATAAAATAGAATATACGATAGAGTGTAGAATATTGAATATAATAGTTTAGAGTGTAGAATAGAGTATGTAATAGAATATCGTATTGAATAATAATAGAGTATAGAATAGAGTAGAGAATATAGTATAGGATAGAGAGTTTATATAGAGTATAGTATTTGCAACATATATTTATTAATATTAAAAAATAAATTATACCCAAATAAAAAAATTAATAAAATAACAAAGGTGAATATTTATATAAATTCAATATAAACAAGTGAAAAAAGCGTTAAGTTCGACCGGGCTGAACTTTTGATACCTTTTGATACTGAAAGGTACTTGACATGAAAATATAAGAAACATACCAAAAAGTACCGACAATTCTACAAACCGATTTATGTTAACCATTATGTATACCAAATACAAATTTCAGCCATTTTTGATGGTGATTTTTCCTAAAATCTGAAAACCCCAAAACGTGGACCGATATTGATAACGCACAGTAGAGTGGAACATATGTATAAAATTTTCAAACTACTGCAATTTTGAGTGCAAAGTTATATGAGGCTATGCCTAAAGGGGGACCAATATTAATTACGTAGCTAACAATTACCGAATATTTGAGGTTATCATTATATGAGGGTCTATGCCTAAGTAATGACCGATATAGCTCAATTTGGAATCCTAAATGCTGGCCAAAACATTTCATCATTGTCAGGTTCGAGTTTTTTATCACGTTATCCTTAGAAGGCGGAATGATAACAACAGATCTACTTAAAATTCCATACTTTGTGGGATATGAACTGACAATTTCGAGTAACGAATATTATACTACGGGTAGAATACGCCTATATGGGGATAACCCCAACTCATGGGGACTACCGCTGAAAGGGGGCGAATATTAACCAATTTGTTACCATATACGAGTACAAACTACCAAATTACAACAAATTCGGTTGAAAAACGCGATCAAAAACCCCAAAATTCCGAATGGCTACCCGAATTGACCTATATTTATATGTTTTTGTGTAAAGATTTGCTACCCAATAAGAACTCAAAGTACTAGATTACAGCCAATTTGGCCTAAGATTCTAGTCAAAACTCTCCAAAAACTGAAAATTGGGGATATAGGTATATGGAAGACATCGCCTTGAGGAGAAGTAAAGCCTACTGAATACTGTCGTTAGACATAAACTTAGAAAAATTTTGGAGACATACCTCAGTCCCAAAATACAGAACGAGTTAATAGCAATAATTGGAGAATATATACAGACGTCTATTGTTAAAGAAAAGTGTTTTATTCTTATCGGTTTTAGCGGATGAAACCATATATGTATAAGATTTTTGACAAGGTACAGTATTTTTCCGTTAATTGACCCTACGGTTAATTGGTTTCCACGCTTAATTGAACCACATGATGGGTCAAAAATATTTCATTTCATAGTAAGCGGGTTCGGATAATTGGTTCCTCGGTTAATTGAACAAAAATTTGTGCAAATTTTAATGTGCAATTAACCGAAAAATGCTGTATCTAAAAAAGTCAAAGAATGTTTACTTTGCTACGTGTAATCAGAAGGCTCAAGAAAAAATCATTTTCGACAAGTAATCGATAATTAAAATAAACGCAGTAATAAGTTTGGGTTTGAATCCAACATTTATGGGAGGTCAAGGATAAGACGGCGCGTCTAACATTAGGCAATTATAATAGAGAGCAGACCATTATTAAATCAAAACTCATTTCTGCGGTAGACATTCATTGTTCTTTTCACATTTTATTTAAAATTAAATTTTAATGCAGCTTCATTTTGTGAAACACGATGGGTTGAGCAGCATGATTGCGTACAAATATTTAACGAATCTATAGAAGTGATACTGGAAGCATTGGAAGAAATGGGGAAAAATGGTAGGTCTTCTGAAAAGGTGCACAAGTTACATGAAATCGAAGGAAAATAATAAGGTTTCGATTCCGGACCCATACTAGAACCAAATATATGAGCTATGATAAATTTCTGTCAGGACGGACATGCCTAAATCTACACCGAAATTGATTCTATAATATCCATGAAAGCAATTATGGATATACTATATCCTATATAATTATTATTATAATCATTATGGTCGTAAAAATTACATAAGGGATAAGGATTAAATCTTACATTTTCTTTAAAAATATTGAACCAAAGCGAAATTTTTGACATTGTGAAACAGTTGTTTTCCGGCAATTTGTTGCCATCTACATTGACATTTAGTGCGTAGGTAGAAGGAAAATAATATCGCCGCACACAATGCGTTTAAACATAATTATTTTTCGAATGCACTTAGGATATTTGTTGTCCTTGGTTATTTTGGTTATATTTATGACCCTCACGCAGTGTGTGCATGCCTGCATTGTAGATGAGCAGTGCGTAGGTAGAAGGAAAATAATATCGCCGCACACAATGCGTTTAAACATAATTATTTTTCGAATGCACTAAGGATATTTGTTGTCCTTGGTTATTTTTAGTAAATAAAGATAATAAATGTCGTAGAACCCAAAATACGTGTAAGCATTTTGTTAAATGTATGTGTAATGTATTGCCTAGTATTAAGGTTTAGAGTTAAGAAAAGAAATTCAATAAAATCAGTTCCCGTTCTACATCGAACAATAAAACATCTTTTTAATTTCCTCTTCTCCCTAACAAATACATACATCATATTCATTCATAAACATTAGTCAATGATTTGCAATGGAAAAGTTAATAGCTACCGATTTCCTCTTCCACAAAAAATATCAAGTAAATGCGAACTTATGAATAAGAAAATAATTTTTGAAGCCACAAATAGTAATTTATTGCCTACTACGTTTTATTTTTTTTTTACCAAATATGACTTGAATCAGTTTACGGGTGATGAGATAATCTTAAATTTGCTTCAACAAAATTCAACCAAAAGCGAAATATTTCTGACATTGTCAAACTGCTGTTTTGCGGCGAATTCTATGATTACGTCCACAAATATATTTGCTCAGTACATCT